GTGGGGTCCAGTTTAATTCTTTTGCATGTATATTTCCAGTTTTCCCAACACCATTTATTAAAGAGACTGTTCTTTACTCATTGTGTATTCTTGGCTCCTATGTTGTAAAGTAATTGACCTTATACACGTGGGTTTACTTCTGGGCTCTCTATTCTGTTACATTCATTTATGTTTCTTATTTTATGCCAATACCACACTGTTTTGATAACTACAGCTTTGTAATATAGTTTGAAATCAGGATGTGTGATGCCTCTGGCTGTGGTCTTATTTCTCAAGATTGCTTTGGCTATTTGGGGTTTTTTATGGTTCCATATAAATTTTAGACTTGTTTGTTCTATTTCTGTGAATTATGCCATTGGAATTTTGATAGGAATTGCGTTGAGTCTGTAGATTGCTTTGCGTAGTATGTATGTTTTATTATTATTAATTTCCTTCCAGTTTTATTGAGGTATAATTGACATACAGCACTATATAAGTTTAAAGTGTACAGCCGGGGCTTCTCTGGTGGCACAGTGGTTGAGAGTCCGCTTGCCGATGGAGGGGACACGGGTTCGTGCCCCGGTCTGGGAAGATCCCACATGCCGCAGAGTGGCTGGGCCCGTGAGCCATGGCCGCTGAGTCTGCACGTCCGGAGCCTGTGCTCCGCAACAGGAGAGGCCACAACAGTGAGAGGCCCGCGTACCGCAAAAAAAAAAAAATAAATAAAGTGTACAGCTGAATGATTTGACTTCCATACGTCATGAAATGATTATCACAATAAGTTTAGTGAACATTCATTATCTCATATAGATGCAAAATTAAAGAAATAGAGGAACTTCCCTGGTGGCACAGTGGTTAAGAATCCGCCTGCCAACACAGGGGACACAGGTTCAAGCTCTGGTTTGGGAAGATCCCGCATGCCACGGAGCAACTAAGCCCATGCACCACAACCACTGAGCCTGTGCTCTAGAGCCCGTGAGCCACAACTACTGAGGCCGCATGCCACAACTACTGAAGCCCATGCACCTAGAGCCTGTGCTCTGCAACAAGAGAAGCCATCACAATGAGAAGCCCGCACACTGCAATGAAGAGTAGTCAACGCTCGCCGCAACTAGAGAAAGCCGTGTGTGGCAACAAAGACCCAATGCAGCCAAAAAAAAATAGAAAAAAAGTTTTTCTTGTGATGTGAACTCTTAAAATTTGCTCTCTTAACAACTTTCATATATACTGTACAGCAGTGTTCATTATATTTATCATGTTGTACATGACATCCCTAGTACTTATTCATCTTATAATGGAGAATTTGTACCTTTTGACTGCCTTCATTCAGTTCCTCCTTTCCTCACCCTCTGCCTCTGGTAACCACAAATCTGATCTCTTTTTCTATGAGTTTGTTTATGTGTTTGTTTTTGAAGTATAACTGACCTACAACACTATGTTAGCTCCTGTTACACAACATGGTGATTTGGTATTTCTATTCATTTCAAAATGATCACCACCATAAGTCTAGTTACAATATGTCACCATACAAAGATACTGCATAGTTATTTACTATATTCCCCCCACTGTATATAGCAATCTATATGTGCTTTTTTTTTTTTTTTTTTTTTGCGGTACGCGGGCCTCTCACTGTTGTGGCCTCTCCCGTTGTGGAGCACAGGCTCTGGATGCGCAGGCTCAGCGGCCATGGCTCATGGGCCTAGCCGCTGCGCGGCTATATGTGATTATTTTGAGTTCCTGATCTCTTAAGTTCAAATACATTTTTACAACCCTGCATTTTTACTTTCCCCACCCCCACATTTACTGTTTTCAACATCATATTTTACATCTTTTTTTGTGTGTATCGCTTAACTACTTATTGCAGTCATAGATGATTTTACTACTTTCGTCTTTCAAACTTCACAGTAGCTTTACACACTGCTAATTTACCTTTATTGTGTATTTGCCTTTATCAATGAGATTTTTTCCCATTGTAATTTTCTTGTTTCCAGTTGTGGCCCTTCCTTTTTCACTTAGAGAAGTCCCTTTAACATTTCTCATAAGGTTGGTTTGGTGGTGCTGAACTCTTAGCTTTTGCCTGCTTGTAAAACTATTTTTTTTAAAGATATTCACCATGTGTTTCTTCTTTAGGTCTTTTCTTTTAAAGTTAATTAATTTATTTTTATATTTATTTTTGGCTGTGTTGGGTCCTCGTTTCTGTGTGAGGGCTTTCTCTAGTTGCGGCAAGTGGGCCACTCTTCATCGCGGTGCGCGGGCCTCTCACTATCGCGGCCTCTCTAGTTGCCGAGCACAGGCTCCAGACACGCAGGCTCAGTAGTTGTGGTTCACAGGCCTAGTTGTTCCGTGGCACGTGGGATCTTCCCGGACCAGGGCTCAAACCCACGTCCCCTGCATTGGCAGGCGGATTCTTAACCACTGCGTCACCAGGGAAGCCCAGCCTGCCTGTAAAACTTTTGATCTCTCCATCAAGTCTGAATGAAAAGAGCCTTGCTGGGTAGAGTATTTTTGGTGGTAGGCTTTCCCCTTTCATCACTTTGAATATATCATGCCATTCCCTTCTGGCATGCAGAGTTTCTGCTGAAAAGTCAGCTCGTATTCTTATTGGAGTTCCCCTGTATGTAACTAGTTGTTTTTCTCTTGCTGCTTCAAATATTCTCCCTTTAATTTTTTTCCATTTTAATTACAATGTGTCTTGGTGTGGTCCTCTTAGTGTTGATCCTGTTTGGGACTCTATGTGCTTCCTGGACCTGGATGTCAGTTTCCTTTCCCAGGTTAGGGAAATTTTCAGCTATTATATCTTCAAATATGTTCTCTGCCCCTTTCTCTCTCTCTTCTTCTGGGACCCCTATAATGTGAATATTAATATGCTTGATGTCTCAGAGATCTCTTAAACTGTCCTTATTTCTTTTTAATCTTTATTCTTTTTTCTTTCAGCTTCATTGGTTTCCACTAATCTGTCTTCCAGCTTGCTGATCAATTCCTCTGTATTATTTAGTCTACTGTTGACTCCTCCTAGGAAATTTTCTAGAAATTCCTTCTAGGTATTTTTCATTTCAATTATTGTATTCTTCATCTCTGGTTCTTCTTTATATTTTCTAACCTTGTTAAAAAATTCTAACTTCTCGGGCTTCCCTGGTGGCACGGTGATTGAGAGTCTGCCTGCCGATGCAGGGGACACGGGTTCGTGCCCCGGTCCGGGAAGATCCCACATGCCACGGAGGGGCTGGGCCTGTGAGCCATGGCCGCTGAGCCTGCGCGTCCGGAGCCTGTGCTCCGCAATGGGAGAGGCCACAACAGTTAGAGGCCCGCGTACCGAAAAAAAAAAAAAAAATTCTAACTTCTCACTCTGTTCATCCAATATTCTCCCAACTTCTTTGAACATTTTTATGATCATTACCTTGAACTCTCTGTGGGGTAGATTGCCTATCTCAGCTTCACTTAGTTCTTCTGCTGGGGTTTTATCTTGATCTTTCATTTGGAAGATATTCCTCTGTCACCTCATTTTGCCTAATTTGCTCTTTTTATTTCTGTGTATCTGGTAGGTTGTTTACATTTCCCATCCTTGGAGAAGTGGCCTTTTGTAGGAGACGTCTTATGTATCTCAGCAGCACACTCCTCTCTCTGGTCACCAGAGCTATATGCTCTAGGGGTGCCCACTCTTTGGGCTGAGTGTTGTGGCAGACTGACTGCTGTGGGCCATCTGGTAGGTGTGGCTGGCACTTGGTCTCGTTTGTTGTCAGGCCCTACCTTGTGTAGAGGCTGCCAGCCACTGGTTGGCTGGCAGGGCTGGGTCGTGGGGCTGCTGGCTATGTGATCCTGGGGTGGTTCTGGAGCTAGTGCTGGCTCACTGGTGGGCAGGGCTGGGTTCTGGAGTGGGTGACTGTGGGGCTGGGGGTCTCAGATTTAGTGTCAGCCCGTTGGTGGTGGGGCCAGTTCCTGATACAACTGGCTGCAGTATCTGGGATGTCCCAAGGCTAGTGTTGGCCCACTGGTGAGGGAGACTGGATCCTGGACAGAGGGCTGAGGGGTCCAAGGTGTCTCTTCTGTGGACTTTGGCTTGCAGGGGGAAAGGTGCATTAGAGGGAACGCTGAGGACAGGAGGGAAATCATTTACTCTGCTTCCCATTTAGCAATCTGAAAGAAGCCACTTCTTGAACTATCCCCTGTCCTACCCTGTAGTATATCCAGGACAACTGGACAGCCTGGTGAGGTCAGGCAGAGGGAACTATCTTCATTATCTTGGGCTGTCAAAACAAAATACCATAGACTGGGTGGCTTAAATAAAATAATTTATTTTCTCACAGTTCTGGAGGCCAGGAAGTCTAAGATTATTGTGCCAGCCAATTTGGTTTCCCGTGGGGTCTCTCTTCCTGACTTGCAGATGGCCGCCTTCTCACCATGTCCTCACATAGCAGAGACAGAGAGAGACAGAGAGTGGCCTCCCTGGTGTCTCTTTTTGTTGTTGTTATTGTATTCATTCACCTGTTTTGTATTTTAGGTTTCACGTATAAGTGATAACATACAGTATTTGACTTTCTCTATCTAACTTATTTCACTTAGCATAATACCCTCCAGGTCCATCCATGATGTTGCAAATGGCAAAAGTTCATTCTTTTTTATGGCTTAGTAATATTCCATTGTATATATGCCTGGTGTCTCTTATAAGGACACTCATTTTACCAGATTAGGGCTTCCCTCTTATGACTTCATTTAACCTTAATTAGTTCCTTACTCCAAATACCAGCGCACTGGGGGTTAGGCTTCAACATACGAATTTTGGGGTTACATAACTCTGTCCATAGCAGGAGGCTTTGAAATTTAGTTTCCCTGAGCTGCCTGGGATCCTAAGTGGTCTAAGTAGACCTAGAGGTGGCTGTGGAGCGGGATGGAGAGCTTGCTAGAAGGGACCACAGTACCAGAGTGAGGTACCAGATCTGCCCTCTGCCTAAAATTCAGCATATGCCATGGTGAATTGCAAATGTTTATTGAAAGGATCAGCTGACTGTGCCTTCTTTTTGTAGGTGTCACATGAGTGTCCCAAGTTCTCCAGCCTTCAGGAGTCACCCTTTCCTTGAACATCCACTGAACATCAGCTCCCAGACCTGCAGGAAATCCATTCAAGAGCCCAGTACATGCTGGTGTGTTTCCATAGATCCATCCTGTCGCTGCTGCATTTTCCTCTGCATGGCTCCATTGTGCCAGGCCTCTTTGTGGTCACCTGCAGCCATTTCTTCACCTCTTCTCCCAGTTGCCGTTCTTTCCCTGAGCTATTTTGCTCTGAGCAGCCATGGCTGGCTCCAGGACAGCACAGACCCCAAACTCTGGCCTGATCTTGTTTCTGCCTCAGAAGCATGTGGTGCTGTGGCCTCAGATGCCATCAAGGTGTCTTCTAGCTCATCCCGGCAGGCCTGTTCTCAAACGTTCAGCTGGGAGAATGTGACCATTTTCTGGAGTTTGATAATCTTCCGTCTTTCTTGGTGATCCACGGATGGTCTCACAACCCAGCTGAGTACTTATATTCAATCCCAGGAGATTATGAGAAGGTGTTGGTTTGTAGAGGAGAAAGATGGGAGATGATGGGGAGGAAGAGAAGATGTGGGGAAGCCAGAGAAGACAGAAAGAGGAAAACGTATTCCAGCTTAGCCCAATTTAACTCAAACTTGAATATGCATCCAAATCACCTAGAAGGCTTGTTAAAGCACAGAGTGCTGGACCCCACCTCAGAGTTTCTGATTCAGTGAGTTTGGGGTGGGGACCAAGACTTCGCATTTCTAACAAATTCCCAGGTGATACTGATGCTGCCGGTCAGGGGACCCCACTTTGAAGAACACTGACTTCATCCCCAGACCATATGGGAGGCAGTGCACCCCCTTCAGACACAGTGTTTTGCTTCTCACAATGGGTAGGCAGATCCGTTCCTTCTTAAATATCCTTGTGGCCAACAGCCAAGTCCATCTGTTTGTTCACGTAGTAGCAAGATGTCCAACAAATCCCTAAAGAAACTAATGAGCAGCTTGGATCCAACTCCTTATTGTCTGCCAGAGGAAAGGCATCCATGCTTGGTAATGAGCCTTTGGTCTCTCTGCCAGGCTCTGTGGCCAGAATTAAGCACTTTGTCATCTAGCTGGTAAAGGACTTTCTTGACAGTATTGAACCAGAAAGCCTAACCAAGTCATGTACTTACATCCCATTATATTGGGGGAACAGTGGACGGTCTCTACTCTCAGAAACCTGTTTGTTTCCATCTTGGTGGTGTGCAGGACAGGAGAGGGGGTGTGTCCCACATCATGCAAAGTCCTGGGACGTGATGGCCGCTGCTCCCGTTCACACATTCCACCAGCATTTTGTAGCCTCCTGCATAGTCTGACTGAACTAAGTCAGAACAGGGCACAGTGACAAAATACATCCAGGATCTGCTTCAAGGCTAGGCCTGTGACACAGCTCCATGCTGGGTGTATAGTGAACCCCCACGAAATGTCAGCCTTGATTATTATGAGTTTGATTAAGAGCAGAGTGTTCCCATCACGATCTGGTATAGAACTCTCTTGCTTGATGCAATTCACAATCTCCTTCTGGGAGGAAATTAGCATTCTTGATAAATGTTTAAGCAATTTTCTGATAAACTCTAACAAGATTAAAACCTCCTTGGAGAAATCAGCTACCCAAACACTCAGCTGATTATCAGACATTTATCTTGTATTCAAGATACAAGTTTAATAATGCTTATCCAACCATTCTGTTTTCCTGGGAAATGTCCTTAACAAAAGGGAACTCTGACTTGGCTTTGTGGCATGATCAAAGTAAAACTTTGTCACAAGCTTATAACTAATTTATCTGAAAAAATTTAAAACAGTCATTATGGAGGTAGGACACAGGAATAGTAATTAACATTTTTAAGTACTTGCTGCTTGCCAGATATTATAGGAAATGTCTTATATAGCTCATCTTTCTTTCTCTTTATAATGAGTTGGTTTATCATAGCTCTGTTTTACTTATAAGATGCTCAGAGAGGTGAAGTGACTTGCCCAAGATCACACAGCCAGTAAACGGCAGAGCCAAGTTTCAAATCCAGGTCTGTCTGAGTGCAGAGCTGGAGCCAGCAATAGCTTCCCTCTTCTGCCTCTGCCAAAGGATTATAGCGGGAGATGGAGAATAGGATATTCTCTGAGAGAAGGACAAGTATAGGGCTGTGGGACTGCACAGCAGGGACAGGTCCCTCCTAGGTACAGGGCTTGGGAAGGAGCTATGGGGGAAGAGGTTTCTCAGCCCAGAAGAGGATGTAGGGGAGGGACACTAAAGACAGCAAAAAAGGCAGTCAGGAGCAATGGTCTGCACAGAGGCAGAGTCAAGGCCCAGGTATGTTTGGAGGATATGGTAGAGTTCAATCTGGCAACTGCAGGAGTGGTCCCCAGTCCTTTCAATAATGAGAACCGTGTCTTCTAGTGTTGTGGACCCTACGTGCTGCTAGTTGGATTCTTATGACTCTGGATTGACAGAGCCCATCCCAGTTCTATCACCTACTGGCTGTGTGATCTTGGGCAGATTACTTCACCTCTCTGAGGTGAAGCTTTCTTCATGTGAAAATTGGAAGGTAATAGTAGCATTTCTCTTATAGGATTGCTGTGAGCATTTAATGAGATAAACCATGAAAAGCACATGTCCAGCACCTACTAAGTGCTCTGTAAAAAGGTGAGGTTTTAATGTATAACTGATTTATGGTGGCATTATGTCACTATTTTCCCAGTAGGGCTGTGAAAAATTTTTTTCTTATTTTAGTGTAATTTCAGACTGCTAAAAAAGTTGCAAAAAGAGTACAAAGAATTCCTGAACACACTTCATCAATATTATACATATATATACATAAATTTCCCTCCTGAACTGTTTGCAAGTCAGATGCAAACCTGTTGGCCTTTTACCCCTAAACACTTAAGTGTGTATTCCCTAAAAGCAAGGACATTCTCTTATATAGTCATAGTACAATGATTAAAATCATGAAACTGACACTTATACAATACTATTTTCAGCAGACTATATTCAGATTTTGTCAACTGTCCCATAACATCCTACATAACGAATGAAAATCTTGGATCATATATTACATTCAGTTTTCCTTTCTCTTTAGTCTCCTTGTAACAGTCTCCTGGTAACAGTTTCCCAGTCTTCTTGTCTCTCATGACCTTGACATTTTTGAAGAGTATATATAGGCCAGTCACTCTCTTTAGGTTTGTCTGATGTTTCTTCATAATTAGATTCAGGTTGTGTTTTGGGCCAGAGTGCATTTCAGTGCATCACATCATTGTGAATGTTTTTGTTCATGCCTTAAAATAGGGTCCCCTCATGGGAAGAGCTGGGGGGCACTGGACCACCTGCACAAGAATCCACTGAAGGACTCGATAAATATGCAGACACCCCAGTACCCCTGAGAGTGTGGGCCAGGAATCTACTTGATTAACCAGCAGCAGTGTGACCAGTTGTCTACTTGTCTACGTTCCTTCCAAGACATGGCCAGTAGATGGCGGTGCAGTGTGCACTTTCAATGCAGCTTCTGCATTTCTGGAAAGATCTCCCTGTGAAACTTCCTGTGAATTCAAGTTAACATCCACCAGGAGAGCTTGGCTGCTTAAGCTGCTCTCCCCTCCTGTCCCTTCGGAGTGACTTCTCTTTCTTTTTTTTTTTTTTTTTTTTTTTTTTTGCGGTACGCGGGCCTCTCACTGCTGTGGCCTCTCCCGTTGCGGAGCACAGGCACCGGACGCGCAGGCTCAGCGGCCATGGCTCACGGGCCCAGCCGCTCCGCGGCATGTGGGATCTTCCTGGACCAGGGCACGAACCCGGATCCCCTGCATCGGCAGGCGGACTCTCAACCACTGCGCCACCAGGGAAGCCCTAGAGTGACTTCTCTTGATGCCCCAGGACCTCAAAGTGGTCAGAACTCCCTTGGAGGTTCCTAAACTCCTCGAGGTGAGAGACCCCTCTTTCTGAAGAGCTAGCCAAGCAACTGTAAAATGTAAAATCATAATACCCCAACCAGCATTTACTGAGAACTTACTGTGTGACTAGCAAGACTCTCACCTTCTCATTTAACTCTCACAGCTACCCCTGAGAAGGAGATTGTTAACCTTCCCACAGTCACACAGCAAGTTCCCATCACTACCTCCTGTTTCCGTCTTGGCTGGAACTTGTGCTTGAGTCAGAGTTGCAGACGGGGAGCAATAATGTCTGTGTCTCTGGCCCAGGCTCTGAGAGCTTGGGGAGCATCCTGAGAAAGGAGGGGATGCCCTTCCCTGCCTTGGGGGCCAGGGTGACTGGGCAGGGAGCTGCAAGGGACAGACACTGGGTCAGTCCCACTGTTAAGGGGGCTTCAACTGATTAGGGAGGCAGACACGACATGGGTCACAGCACATAGAGGGCCAGTGGGCAGGCTGTCTAGAGACTCTGAGAGGCTGGAGGGACTGGGGGACTTTCAAAGACTGGGGGTGAAACCGCACAACTCAGATTGGGATTTGAACCCATGGGCCGGGACTCGAACCTGGCCAAAACCCAGACGGGGACTTGAATCCACTGTCTTTTAATTAAAATCACATATCTGGTCTCAGGACCTACTGAAGTTCAGGGTCTTTATGTCTCAGCAATTCAATAAGAGACAAAGCAATAGGTAAAAAGTGGATTTACTTAGAGGGATACACATTCCATAGATTGAGTATGGTGTGTCTCGAAAGGCGAGAGTGGCCCTGGGAGAAACACCCTCCACGGACAGAGCGTGGGCCATCTCAGAAGGCGAGAGGCCCTGAAATATGGGCGGTTAGTTTTTATGGTCTGGGTAATTTCATAGGCTAATGAGTGGGAGGATTATTCCAACTATCTTGGAGAAGGGGTGGAGATTTCCAGGAATTGGGGCATCGCCCACTTTTTGGCCTTTTATGGTTAGTCTCAGAACTGTCATGGCCCTGGTGTCATTTAGCATATGCTAATGTATTACAGTGAGCATAAAATGAAGCTCAAGGTATACTGGAAGTCGAATCTTCTGCCATCTTGGACCTAGTTGGTTCTAACCAGTTTATGTCACATCCAGAGGCTATGTCATTCTTTTAAAGGTTGTGCCTTGCCCCCTTCCCACCTGTTTCAGGGGGACACTGTGGGACATTCAGTTTGTGTAATGCTCATAATAGAGCAAATCATACTTGTTGAATTTGTTTCCGCTTATTTAATCCTTTTCTAAGAGGACTGAGGGGATTTTCAAGGGAAGGGATCCATGGTATCGGGGAGGATGGTGTGAAATGAGCCTGGAGACGTGGACAGGTAAGAATGTTCACCTGGAGATGTGGGAAGGTGGGGATTTTCACCAATGGGTGTGGTCAAGGGAAATGTCCTAGAAAGCAGAGAAGTTTGACTGGAGATCTGGAAGGCATCCTTATCAATATGTACTTCTGTTGAGGTCAAAGCTGCACATTGTTTATGCAAGACCTCAACTCCCCTTCTTTGTTGTTAGCAGAACCCTGGATTAGTTGAAGTGGCCACCTGCCCAGCTAAAGAGCTACATTTCCCAGCACTGGCAGCTAGTCCTGGCTAATGAGATGTGAGCCAACAAAGCTGGGCTGGTGTGTATTAGTCTGGATTCAATCAGGAGAGAAAAACCACATGGTAATTTGAATAGGGAAAGTGTAATATAAAGAATTATTGACTATAACAGAGGATTGAAGTAATGAGGGGTTGCCTAGTAAGAGGTAAAGAGAACTCTGAAGAATACAGGTGAAGTAGCAGATATAAGGAGCAGTCATGACTCTCAGGGCTGAGAAAGAGCTTTCCCTCCCCTATGCCCTCCCCCCAGTGCTGAGGTCCAGACTTTGTTGGATTGGGCACAGCTATGGTTCACTGAACAGCAGAGAAGTTACTGAGGTCTGCCCTAGTGGAACTTGCCAGAAAACTGCCCTCTGTCATACAAGGGAAAGCTATCCTGATACCACTGAGGTATCTCAATGGAAGCACTTGAATACAAAATTGCCAAAGGTGGGGGTGCTGGAGGAAGCTACCGGCCTTTCAGTGCTTCTGGCTGCTGTAGACTAGGAACAGGTGCTGGAGCAGCTGCCTGGTCTGTAGGAGGCCGCTGAGTGACCCACCTGAACCAGGAAAGGGTGGGCTCCTAGAAAAGCCCTCTAAAAGGGATTCGATTTGGCTAGTTTGTCCCTTTTGCACTTGGATCTTCCCTTTCTTCCTGCATCCTGGATCCAGAATGAAGAGGGCTTGGCACAGAGCTGCAACTGACATGTCACGTGAGTGAGAAATAAACCACTGTGGTGGTCAGCCACTAAGATCTTGGGGTTGTTTGTTCTGCAGCACAACATGCTGAAACCTGACGAATACACATGAAGAATGTTTATATAATGATTGCCAGTTACAGTAAATAGAAATTTCCTGTTTTGTAAAATACTATGAGGAGGTGAGAATTATGGTTAAAGAAAGAGCCAGTAAGGTCTAAAGCAAAGAAAAAGAGTCATAAAAATACTTCCTGGACATTAGAAACACTGATGCTTTCAAATTTATTACAGGAGCAGGAGAAGAAAGAAAAAAGAACAAAATGGGAAGGAGAAAGAGAAAGGTAAAATAGTAAAGAAAAAGCAAAAATAATTTGAGAATACTGTGTTTATAGACAGCTCAACTGACTCCTTGGTATTGCTCAGGAAAATAAGAGGAATATTATTAAACCAGAGCAGCCTGATTTCTGCTTATGTAGAAGCCACTTTGAATTGCCTGTGGGAGACACAATAGAGAGAATCTCTCTGTCCTCAAGACATATGATTGAAGCCATTGTGCTCTCTCTCAAAGGCATCTTAACATGCCTTGTCTGTCCTCATCAGCAAGCACATGGGCTTCCCGCTGAACTCTAGTTTCAGAATGACCTTTGAGGTGTCCCCAAGGATCCATAAAGTTAATAGCTTTTATTTTGAGTCAGACACTTCAGCACACAGTCTCTCAATTTAGTGAGGATCCAGCTATTGGCTTTCATAGAACGTGGCAAGAGACAGAAGCAATTGGCTTTGATGGGTTTGAGGAGGAAAAGGTGGCAGAGTGAAAGCCCCGCTGACCCTCTCCAGCACCTTTCAGGTGAACAACAGCAGCAGCAGAGACAAATTGATGGAGCAAGTAACAGAAGCACGTGTCATCTGAAATGAATGTGGCAGAGTTGAGGAAATTGGCAAGAGTACCTTCCAGACACACAGAGATATCTCTAACACATTTAAGGAAGACATGGAGAGTCCCTGCCTATCTCCTGGATATTAAGTAGGTACAGATTTCCTAAAAGTAAGTAAGAGGGTCTGGAAGGGTCTGGCCAACATCTTTACTTGGAAAGATGAGAACTCAGAGCAAAAGAGGACTCAAGAGTGTTAGGGAAGGTCACACCTTGCAACTGTCTTCAAGCCCCGGGTTGATGGGAACCAGGGCTGTAAGGATGACCCTGTAACTTTACCACCCTTGTAATTCTCCGAGCTGGGCTCCTATATCAAGCTAACAAGCTAAGGGCAAGGTGAGGAGAGAGAGGTGAGAATCACACTCTGATATCACCCTTGTGATATCAATGCCAGCTGAACAGAGATGAATCAGCTCAACCACAATGGCTAAAGGGCTTTACCAAGAGCCACAGGTCACAAAGGGATACAGAGGATCCGAATCAAATAATGAATCAGGTTGATATTAGGGATAATACGGCATCATGCAAACAAATGGGTATGTAAACAGCGAATATGTCTCCCATTGAAACACCCGTGAGAATAGTTACAAAACTTGACCATGGCTATAAAGAAAATATCAGCAATTTTCCCCCAAGTAGAAATAGTAGAGACTTCTTTGACCACCAAGTAATAAAACCAGAAATTAAAAAGTAGAAATGAGACAAAAACCCAACCATATGGAAAAATTAAACCCCCTCCTAAGGACTTCCCTGGTGGTGCAGTGGTTAAGACTCTGCACTCCCAATGCAGGGGGTCTGGGTTCGATCCCTGGTCAGGGAAGTAGATCCCACATGCGTGCGGCAGCTAAGCGTTTGCATGCCACAATGAAGGAGCCAGGGAGCTGCAACTAAGGGGCCCGCATGCCGCAACTAAGACCCAGTGCAACCAAATAAATAAATAAAATATTTTTAAAAACCCTCCTCAAAATGTATTTACTCATTTTAAAATCAAAGTATAGTTGATTTACAGTGTTGTGTTAATTACTGCTATACAACAAAATGATTCAGTTATACACATGTATACATTCTTTTTAAAAATATTCTTTTCCATTATGGTTTAACATAGGATATTGACTATAGTTCTCTGTGCTATACAGTAGGACCTTGTTGTTTATCCATTCTCTATATAAAAGCTTATCTGCTAACCCTAACCTCCCACTCCATCCCTCCCCCAACCCCCTTCCCTTGGCAACCACCAGTCTGTTCTCTATGTCCATGATTCTGTTTCAGTTTCATAGATAAGTTCATTGGTGTCATACTTTAGATTCCACCTATAGGTGATATCATATAAGTTTTGTCTTTCTCTTTCTGACTTACTTCACTTAGTATGATAATCTCTAGTTGCACCCCCTCCTCAAATTTTAAAACTCCATTTGAGAACAAAAGAAAGTCAGAATTGTAAGTTCAAACAAGATTGGAAAACAAAGATGAAAACACTATGTGTCTAAAACAATGAGATACAGCTAAAACCATTATGGGAGGGACTTCCTTGGTGGCCCAGTGCATAAGAATCCGCTTGCCAATGCAGGGGACATGGGTTTGATCCCTGGT